TTAGGTTTGGCAGGCACGAGTTAAAAATGGTTGGCCACAAAAATTCTGCCCATTCAGCACATTTAGCGGTCAGAAGGGAACCTTGAGGCTTCAGGCATACATCAATGCGAGAAACATTAGCAAAATACGAAATGACTTGTGCTGTCCCAACATACATCATACATTAGGTGTACAGCATGCTAACATCTAATAGGTATTCATTTATATAACATCTAAAGACTAGGCCTGAAGCACTTTCAAAAGAGAGTAACTGCGGCTACATGTTCAAGACGACAATGCAAAACACTAAAAATAAACAAGAATATTAGCCTCACAGGTAAAATGTAATGTCTATGCTCAAAATTGGACTGCATCGCTTGATACTTCAAAAACACATAAACACAGAAGGCACAAACAATCACAATGTTTGGCATTCAAAACATATTTGCATACCGCACAAACAGTTATTTTTTTCATTTGACAGAATTACAACTATGAACAAGCAGTAGTAAAAAAAATAGAGAAATACGTGAATGTCTCAAAGTAACTACAATTTATATCTTTGGGGATGCAATATACACCTCATATATTAAAGAACAGCATAGATATTAGAAAAAAACAATCAATGTCAAAATTAGTTAAAAATGTCTTTTTGCTGTAAATCAATGTCTTTGAGGCTTTTTTAATGGCTTCAGGCACTTTGCACCAGCCCAACAGCTTTGCAATCCTTTTACTTGTCATCACGAGATAGTCTGACCCCAAGTTAAGCATTACCAACACCAAACAACAAAGCCTTCTTTACTTTGTCTTGGTATGATGTGCCAAGTGTTCTACAGCTCAGAGCACGGTCTGTACAGTGATCTGCACTCAAGTATGGCCATGCCTTACCATGAACAGCAAGTTGTCTGCTTCCACCAGAATATACAGGGGGAATTGAAAAGAAATGCAAACAACGTGGCACACTGTTTTCATCACACTCTAACCTTGGCGGCGACAAAAAATGCATGAGTGGTTCATAATAGTGTAATGAATTACTCTATTGGCTTTTCATTAATGTCAAGGCTACAATCACTTGTAAAGAAATGAAATGCAGCAGACAATGTTGATTCCGCACCATTCGCATTTCTTTTAATCATCATAGTGCATGCAGCAGCCCTGAATCGAGCACATGATCTCACTCTCAGCAGCGGATCTCTGTTGTTGAATTCCAATGGCAGAGTCGGAGCAGCTAATGGACTCGGTGAGTGAGCGCTCAACTCTGGTGCAGAGCAATGCCTCAGAATTCACAACTGGAACACAATCCGTGCCGCTGAAGCAAGCATGAAAGCAAGGAGGAAGCAGGAGTCCTTGAGTGGCCCAGAATACCTAGCGTGTAGGTATTCTATTCCGCTAATTCTGCTGTCGAGTTGTGTTACATTATTTTTCATACATAGTAATTTCAAATGACGCGATTCGATCAGCTGCTCGTGCAGAAACTGGAGCTTTCTGAATCGGCTGTCCCAAAACATGCGACAGCAGCGGCGCCACCAAGCGGCCGAATAAGTTAAACGGAATGCGTCACGCCAAGTTCCAGTCCGCTGTTCCGATCTCGGTGGAGTAACTTTTCCTGCTCTTCAGCCGATTTCGGCAGAGTAACTTTTCCCGCTCCTTAAACTGACTCCCACACTGAATCTACTCCAACTCTCTCAATGGAACACTCGGCCCCGCCCTTACTCTAGCATTGGAACACACGTGCTACAAAAGGAGCAGAAAAACTAGCTCTGACTCCGCCATTGGAATGAAACATATGGCAAACAAGACTCTGCACTTTCGTTCTGCTTTACTTCATAGCTGAAATGTGTGCTCTGGCACTGTTGTCACTGTAGGAAGCTGAAGTGTAGGGTGCCTATCTTACTGCACCCACTATTCTCCAACCCCTTGTTTTTCTCCCCTCTCTCCAGCTGATCCCAGTGTTCTTTTAACTTATTGGCATCCTTATTTGTAGCTGTGACAGAACTTCCATGTGCTTACACCACTTGTGCATACAAAGTATGTGCAATAAAAAGAGCCACCTTCTCTACTGACACATTTGCCAAACCCCCCCCCCTCCCCCTTGTGGAAAAGAAGGGAACACATTCATAATGGCCATATTGGTTCATCGTTGCTTCTATGTCTTGAAGATATACTTGGAGTGGTACTCGGTGAAGCAGTCACGATCTTTGTTAATGCACAAAACAGCTTTGCACTGGTGACACTGGTGCATGGATCTCCGCTGGAGCTTCATCATACTGCACATAACGCAGCGCCGCTTGGTGCAAGGCTCAGGGAAGTGGTCCGAATACCATGGCCAGTCTTCTCCACCGCTACTTCGCTGGTCCTGAATCACTGAAACAGAACAGTCAGGCTTCCATCAAAACCACCACCTACAAAATTTGAGATGCAGGTTTTGCAAGAAGCAGATTAAAGTACTCGTGCTCTGAGCCCAGATACATGACGAGACATTCTTTGTGCTAAGCAATGTGCCATTTCGACACATTTTCACACCATGACTCTGAACAGTGCTGGATAAAACTAGTCTGAATAAAAATGAAGTTTTTACTTCTATTATGAGTGCTATTGAAGGTGGTTTACATACATATATGTGAACGTAATGTAAATAAACATATTTGGAAATTGCCACTTTGTCTAGCGAAAGTGCTGTATTATTGAATCCTCTCGCAAGCACACGTGTCTCGTCAGCACACGGAACGACAATCCAGGAGTGAATTAACTACATTAAATGCACTCACATTACATAAAAACTGCAAACAGGAAAAGCAGCAGCCAGAGACACGCCATGATACTACAGATGTTGAGTACATCTGAAATGCTCGTGGGTTTACATACTGTCAGCAACATGCTGCACATTTTATAACTTTGTTCTCACATTTATATACTTTAATTTTTAGTTCAATATGTACATAAAAACATTTAGCTAGCAAGGATGATGGTTTATATGAATAGCTGCATGGGATAAACATAAACTCTTTGGTTGCAGCTACAAATAACCATTGGTTTTTACGCTTGGGGGCACTTATGTCAAAAATGAGTTTTATGCTCAGTTTTCAGTGCTGTTCAATACACTAGCAATATAATTGTGCGGAAAGTGCTTAACTCAATCTGCTAAAGAAAGGTCTGGGCAGAGTCTGAAGGTCTGGGCAGTGTGCTGCCTGGGCAGAGTCTGAAGTCTACAGCGAGTGAAGGTCACAAAATGGCCCGTGCCGACAATCGCTCCTGTCAATACGAAACTTTAAGGCCCAACCACAGGGTCTGCTGTCGCCATAGCTCCCCGCTTCTCCTGATTCTCACTACGGTTGCAATTTGCTCTCTGTGTTTGTTATCTGCACGTACTTCAAGAAACGCAAATATAGGCTACCTTTTCTACGGTAATTTCTCATGTGGACAGTAAGGTGGCAGCTGCATTTTGTCATTAATCTTGTGATCGGCAATTTGTTCTGATGCTTTGGTGGTAGCTTGCTGCAATGTCAACGGTGGCGGCGCTGTCTTCGTGCGAGGTTGCCGCGAAGTTGGCAAAGTGCGTCATAGCGCATGCTTCTGGGCACCCCTCGAGATCACAGCAGATGCTACTGTTGCAGTTAAACGATTGCTAGAAAAGATAACCGCGAAATGCTTCTATGGCTTGCGTGGGCAGCACAGGGACAGCTTGCAAAAGATAGCGTCATGAACCTGAGTGAAGATGAAGATGAGTGAAGTGCTACGAATAAGCTGTTTCGAAACAGTGTAAGCATACGTCAATTGCAAAAGGCTAAGCGACCAAACTTTTTTTTGCATTACCACACTTCTCGCTCATCCCAGAAAAGTTTTCATAAAATTTGCCCCGCATAATCAACGCACCCCCAACTCTTGTTTGATTTTTCGAGAAAAAAAAAAAGAGCATTGACTACGCTAGTAAGTATGGTATGTGAAAATAAATATACACAAGTTTTATGAGGTTCGAAACTTCATTTTGAAGCTGTGGCCTTTAAATGCAAATGCTCAACAGCATGAATGCCATTCCTTCTTTGAAAGTCACTGTCAACATTATAAAAACACAATACTATAAAACTGTATTATAGTGGTTAGAAACTAGTACTGAAAATGCACATATCCATTTGATAGATTCAGGGCTACTAGGTTTTTGACTACTATGGTAACAAAGCAAGAGAAAAAGAACACTGGAGCGTGTACAAAAATAAAAAAAAGTACTCTTGAGTTAGTGTACTGTACGTTCAGTTTATTGAATGCGTCTAGTGAGTCACATGTACCTGATGTGAAAAACTGTCGAGTTCCAGCAGCATGCATCTGATGAAGGCTAACAGATTAGTTAAACGAGACTGAGGAAAAATAAGTTTCAAGATTCTAAAATGCACAAACTTGGTAGTATGACAGCAGGCATCAGGAAATTCCAAAACAAACATGAAGCCAATTAATTCTTGCTATACACCAACAGTCCAAGACCCCTGCATAATGCCTTTTCCTAAGGACTAAAAAGGGCATATTGCTTTGCATAAGAGCTTTCCGAAACAATAACTGTATTTTTTCTATATCATTCTGCATGTACCTTGTATAAAGCCATCACATAAATAAACGTAAGAAACTGCTAAAGTAAAAATGCTTACAGCAGCATGTTTACATGGGGAAAAACATTATAAATGTATTTAAGATAATGCACTGATACTTTTTTATAGCACACTTTGTTTTCTGAGTTAGTCTGTTACAGTACACATTATAAATATGTTTGCAACAAATCACTCCTTAACCTTCCTAACTAGTAGTGCAATCCATATTTGCGGCTTGACGGCCTAGAAGTCATGTTATGTCTAAAATATAAAACAATACATTTCCTCCAACCATTGCTTCGGGATTCTTGATCACATTAAAGTTCTCGTTCTGTTCCTGTTGACAATTTTTTATGCATACAACAATGATGCATAAAGAGCAGAATGCAAGAACAAAACTAATGCTTAAATGAAATTTATACAAGAGGCAAGAAACAACGAGAAATCTGGCTTAATAGCATTTATTTCACACATGAATAAATTAGAAATTCATTTTACTCCACAGTTACATAGACACAAATAGCTATGCATGCAATAGATACACAAATCCTAAGAAGGAAATATCAATGCAATCCTCACATTGCAAAAAGTACGGAAGACGATTGTTAGACATAACCTGGAGGTGTTATGTGATGTGGAAAAGCACTTCCGAATTCGTGAGTGTAAAGGTTAAAGCACAAGAAAAAGCACTATTTAATTTTAAACCATTCATCTGAACATCTTACAAGACTGCCTTGGTCATAAACACAGAAGCCATAAGAACAGCACTTTTATTACATATGGGCTGTCCATGCGGAGCCAACTGTCTGGCTTACAAAGACAAAAAAAAAAAATACGCAAGTCAAACACCCACACTGAAGTACAATTGCATAATATACTATAATAAATAATGTGAGCTTGACCATTCCAGGAAAAAATACTAAGCTTTTCAAAATACAATCACAAAAATAAATATGTAGCACAGAGTACCTGCATCAAATCATTGTAAAAGATAAACCCAATAACCAGTTAGCACACAATATGTTAATAAACCTAAACTAAATATGAAGCTTGCAGGTAACACTTCTGGAAAAAAATTTGTATGTATATATTTCACATACCACTGGCAAGATGTAAAGCTCAAAAATAAGGGAAGAGCTCACAAAGCAACTCCATATTTCAAGTTTTTGGCATTAATTTCAGAACCTGTGAGAAGACATCAAAATAATCAAATGTGCATCACTTTCACTCTTCTAAAAACAAGAATGTACAATGGCCATTTCATTTGGTGTTCTACCCATGATACATGCCAATCCAAAACATTAAGAACTGAAGGCTCCAAAAAGTTCGAGAGAAAGCATATGTTTTTGCATGGACATGCTGCTATGCACTCACTTCAAGAGTAATACTTCAAGCATGAAATTCACATTAGACTCTTAATTATTTAATTAGAGCTCCAGGCTGCAGTAAACAAGAAGTTTAAAATAAAATGTTGCTTACATTTTAAGGTATTCTGTTCTCATACCTGTTTAAAAAATACATTTTGTAGGAGAAACCTGGGTAATATAATGAATTGCACTGCCGATGTAGCCCAATTTTTTCTGCGGCATACGACTGAATCAAAATGCACTGTGTCCAAAATGAATTGAAATGTTTCAGTTATGTTTTGTTCAACTCAAAGCCTGTCAAGTCCCTGGAACAGTAAGCAATATCTGTAAAATTTTTCCTCAAAGTGAACATCTCACTTAATTAATGCTCTTTTGAAAGTAGTGTCCTCTCTTATCAAGCAAAGTCTTCAAAAAAGCTTAAGTATGCCCATGCAGATGTAGTGCAGCAAACCAACAAGCCCAGGCATGTGTAGAATACACATAAACTAGTTATAAAAACCACTATATTACAGCATGAGCCCTGTATTTGTGAATGTGCACTAGCTCGAAGCTCCTCCCCAGTTGCACCAACCCCATTTTTTGTGAATTAGTAACTGTGCCTCAATAATGCCGCTCCACAATTCCTGAACTTTTATTTCCTAATAAGAGACTAATTTTCTGGTTCTGTAGTTCAGGTTCTAGGATGAGCTGCACACAAGAGATTGAGTGCTTTTCAAACAGTTCCACCAATTATACGACGAAATGAGCACCCTTGTTGAAGTCCAAAAACTACTTCGCTTTAGCACCATTTCCACCCTTTGCTCAGCTCGGTGAGAAGAAACTTTGAGAACAGAGATATTTCTAGGGAGAGACTCTGGTCATGTAGGAATTCCGCTTTGTTTAATTCCCCCCGCCCCCTTACTTTTTTGAAAAGCCTGCTGTATAGATACTAATAGGTGCAAATTTGTGGCTTCTTGAGTGAAGGGATCTGGAACTTCTGAATACATAGGTCTCTTTAAGCAATATATCCATAAAAATGTTCATATGTCCCTATCCTATGTTCAACTTCTTTTTCTGTTCTGTTTGTGTACCACAAATCTTCCAATAAGCTGTGCACCAGCTTGCCCAGTGTTAAACTCAGCTAAAGCTACACCAGCTACAGTTATCGCAAATCCAACCTTCAAAGACCAAACTTCAGGAAACCACTTAGAAGCCTTCGAGTGAATGCAGAATAACCCCTAAATACATGCTGACACCTTTTAATGATTGGTTGAGTTGCTGTTTCTCATGGGCTAAAAGTGTCTAGCAACTAATTCCTTTTTTTTTTTTCAAATAGATTACCAACATGCCCAGACTGCCACATTTGAGTCTAAAAACTGAATGCTCTGCTTGCATGCTATAACAACTAGCTACACCATCAGTGCATAAAGAGACGTTGGTTGCAGTTTACATGCGAGAAAAGTCCGGAGAATGGTTTTGTTCACAAATGCGTGAGCTGTTAGGACATATTAACAAAATTAATCTATAAATTTTGCATTCTAATATGACCATGTAAATTTTGTATATATAGTGGTTCATAGCCATGCCTTGTATTCTAATTTACAATGAAAATGCCAGTGTGTAGCAGAGGTGGTGAAATGACACAGTTCTATATAGAGGCTGATGATCTCAAGAATGGACTTCCTTTCAAAGATGCACATAACAGCACTGACAAAGCCACTAAACGAAATGTTACTGTATTTGCTGACACACAGGCTGATTCTCAGTTCGAACTCAAACTCAGCAATGGGCTTTCAGTAGAACTTAACTAAACTATATTATTTATTTAACACTACTGAGCTGAATTATTTGTACTTATACGTTGCCCATGAACACTGACTTTATATATAACACATGGGGCTAAATATGACTAGAAATAATGGACTAGCTTTGGTTGATTGTACAAATAGCACTATCATATCAAACTGACTAGCATTTCTTGACTGACACCCCAAAGCAGGCAGGTTGGTTCACAATCTTCTTTCTATGCACAATAATATTTAGATATTTACTCTACACTAATACATCAGTAACCAGACCAAAGTTTACCAATCAAAGTCACTTCACAACTTGAATATGGTAAGCCATAAGGAAGAAAAAAAAAGGAAGATCATGAAATCACTTCAAGCAGTAATAAATCTTTGCCCATAAAGGAAGTACTAGAGACGCCATAAAATCATGTCAAATAATAAGGCTTAGATGTTTAACTGTGAGCAAAAAAAAAACTACTGTAACGTTTCTGAGCTGGTGTGTACTTCTAGCCTGAAGCTGCACATGGAAGTCATAAATGGATAAGGTAAAATGATGCAGCCAGTCACACAGGAGTGTACATACTTCGCTTTAAATCTTAGAAAAAAGTTTTTATGCTAACCAGTGCGCTGTTCCTGCTCACATCTCCCAGAATATTGCATTTTATTGTGCAGATTGTTTCATTAGGGACTTGACACAATTAAATTGCTAATTTTTATAGAAATATAAAAAAAAGCTGATCTTGTTTATGGTGAAGTCAGATGCTACAAAAATAGCATTGGCATAATTTTTGTCACCCTGCTTGTCAGCTACTGCAGAAACCAACTGGCATTACCAGTTGATAACACATTCAAAAACTAAGATACTAAGATTTTGCCAACTGCTTTGAAACTGAAATAAAAGCTCTCTTCAGCAGTGCACACCAATGGATATACTATTCATAAACCAAACATTGAATTTATTTGACAACTTTCAATAATGCAGCACCAATCTCTATTGTTGAATACTGAGCAAGCTGTTTTACAGACCGGTTTTTGTCACAGTCCTTCTTTCAGTGTCTTGAAAGAATGAAATTAAACTTGAATTTCAAATAACGTTTCAGGTATCGTGCACTTCTTCGTCCAGAGGGTTTTGTGGAACTCAGAAACCTCTGAAATCTGCAGGAAGACTTGCAAGGTATTTACAGGAGCTACATAACTTACTGCTGCCTGTAGTATGCATTAGCTGCCTGTAGTATGCATTAGAATACTGCAATAGACTACCACAAATATTGGTAAATTAGCTTGAATGTGTTCAATATAAAAAAAAGATTATCTACTGTTCATAAGTCATGTATATAAACTTACAATAGTATAAATTATTTCCCACATAATGTGCACAAAGATTTAACGAGCTCACCGCCATCCAGTGCACAATGGTGCACAAGGTTTGAAACACAAAAGAATGTGCACAGACAATATGAAGACTAGCTATAATGAATAATAGTTACTTCATCCAGCTGAGCTCTACAGTGCTTATATTCTTAAGGCATTACGTCTTCGCAAGACATTGTTAAAAAAAAATATTGAGGAATTGCTCAACATAATCTATGCTGATTACTCATGTATACCGTAAGTCAAACAATAAGCTCGGCATATTCGCCTATCCTTTCTTTCACATCGCAAGGGCTCAACTCTGTGTCACAGAATGGGCTGTAGAAGATAAACTTACTGTGTTCCTCATTCTATGATCGTTTTGTGTTGAACTAGCTAATGCTCTTGTAGCTTTAGCTTAATTACTCTTTCCAGAAGGCCATTGTTGATGCAAAAGACATAAGCTCATTGTCAAACTCATTTAAAGTGAAGGGAATCCAGTTAAGATTCTCACCATCCTAAATTTTCATTAGCAAGATAGTTTTAATAATGGTAGTTGTAAGAAACCGGTTTCGCGAAGATTACACACCTTATAATGTAATGACTAACAGTGCAAGTGCAGCAGCGCCACCATGTCCCTATACTCACTAACAACTGGCAGTGACTTGTATAAAGGAGATGGTTTCCAATTCACGTGCAGTGTTGAAACTATCGAGAAAAGTAGAATTTCAAGCCACGTTTGCCAAACTTCAACATACAAAAGAATAAACCGGCGCTGCACAGTTCTTCACACAGCAAGACTAATGATTAAATTCACAAAGTCACTTTCAGGCGGTTCCGATTCATCCTTAGGTGACTGTAGAGCCTATTCTGCCCAGTCACTTCCATTTGCATACGGGTGACATGAGTCAACATGCTGCTCCAAGTCGGACATGTTGGGCATGGTCTTCAGACAGAAGGGGCAAGTGAGTGCAAGCTGCATTGGACTTGGCTGGCTCACACCGTGCACACGCCGCATGTGACGCCATAGGTGGTCCTTCCGGCTGATGATCATGTTGCAGATCTGCAATGCACCATTAAGTGAGAAGCATATTATGCGCCACAGTGTACATTGCGCTTGCTATCTGTAAAGCATGACTGAACTTGACATTGAAACCAGCAATCCAAGCTACTCCATTTGATGACCACGATTACAAGGGCCTTCTACAGTGTCTTCATGTTACCAGTGTCTTCAGTTTGAAGTTAATGAAGCAGTTATTGAACAATTAACTAACTCACGATTTTACCACATCCCATTAACTATGCAGGTCTTCCTTTTTATCACAGAACATAACTTCCAGGTGCCGGTATTCTCCCTTAGCTAGCAGCGGGGCAAGTGCGATCAACTGCTCCAGTTGACAGCCTATTCCAATCATGGGGGAACTCAGCGATCAGAACGCTCACTTTGATGAAAGTGACAAATACTTTTGCATCACAATTTCAAGGTGGCTCATTATCCCGTAAAGAAATACTAGAAAAAAATGAATGAGCTGCGCACTTATCCTGGCTGTGATGACACTATACTGCTGGCTCATGTTTCTTTCATTACGTGTCCTAACACAAAACTGTTAAATAAATTATTTAAAATGATGAGATGTTTGTATCAAAACAAGAGCAAACAAAAATAATAGATGAAAACATTTATGTGCACTTCAACGGTACTGCTAGGAACTACTACCATTTCATCACGCAAATAACTTGACTTACTCCACTTTCAATCCTTCTCGTTACTACTGGAATTTGCCCAGTTAGCTTTTGCAAAGTATACAGCTAAACCATAATTTAGAAACCCAGTTTCATTACAAGACAGAGCTATAGTGAGATTTGTGAACCAGGGTCACAATAACACATGAGAGCAAGCGCTGTGTTGCTGTGTCTTCAGTCTCTAAGCTCGTGTTATAGCTCCTGTCATGATGTATCGACGAGCAAGCAACTAGTCCATGCTTCTTTTCATTATTCTCAGTTTTCACGCATGGTGGATACACGCAAAAAACAACTCCATACATGTTTTATTCAAGTAGCAATTACAATTAACCCTTTGACATGCTACGCACACATTTGTGTACACCACTTGTATTTGCTATTTGTAAAGACTAGGAACCAAAAAAGAGCAAGGTACATTGAGCTTTGAATGAATGGAAACTCCTGCATAATAAATTTGTCTTCATTTAATGTCATTTCGTAGCACACCGTTTTATACAATCCCTTTATTGAAGGCACTATCATATTCGATGAGTCGTGTGACACGCCGCTTTCTGCGATTCATGTCAAAAATACAATTTTTCTTTGGTCAGAGCAGACATAACCAAAAACAAGTTCGCGCTATATTCCTAGCTCGAAATTTCCCTCGATTTATGCAAAAACATAGCAGGAAAGACTTCATATAGACTATAGACTTCATAATAAATAAGTATTTAATTACAAAGTAACTAGGAATAATAACTGCAATGCACATAAATTAATATATTATGACATTATTTTTGTTGCAACATAATATCCAGTGCCTTGAAACACACAGTATTGATCTGGCACATCTTAAAGGATTAAATAATTTTTGTTTGGTGACAGCCAATAGTGCATACTAAGATACAAAAGAAGGGACCTGCTCATGACTAAATAAAATCAACATTTTCGTTTCAATGCAGTCTAGATAAAAAATTCCTCACAAGAACCCAAGTATAGCTTTCAAACACAAGCTCCCACAAACTACCAATGCTATAGTTCATAGGCTAATGATTGTGCATGGCAAAAGAAGGTGGTACTCACTCTGACTCGCTCAAGAAATACATATTGCACTTTGGACTCACTCAGGCTCAGACGCACCAAAATTTTCTTGAGCCGAACTCATTCAGACTCAAGCTCATGGAAATTTTCTTTAACCAGACTCACTCAGACTCAGACTCAAGACATTGCTAACCCAGACACACTCGGACTCACAGCTCAATGTGAGTCTGGGTGAGTTTGCCGACCTGCGGGTTTAACATCCCAAAGTGACTCAGGCTACGAAATCACCTATAGCGGTTCTCTGTAATTTCAACTATCTGGGGTTCTTTAATGTATGCTCACATCGCACAGAAAACAGGCCCTTAGCCTTTCACCTCTATTGATATGCAACCACCAAGGTTGCGAATGAGCCCGCACCTTTTGAGTCAGAATCCGAGCCCTGCCACACCTAAGCCATCACAGAAATGGATGGCTATGCATGCATTGATTAAACAAATAAAAGGCCTCGGTGCCACACATCCACTAATTTCACTGTAAGCCCTAACAGATGCCACGAGATCAACAGCTACACAGTCAACTTCCTAATGATTTATATGATTGATATGTGGGGTTTAACGTCCCAAAACCACTATATGATTATGAGAGACGCCAAAGTGGAGGGCTTCGAAAATTTCGACCGCCTGGGGTTCTTTAATGTGCACCCAAATCTGAGTACACGGGCCTACAACATTTCCGCCTCCATCAGAAATGTAGCCGCCGCAGCCGGAATTCGATCCCACGACCTGCGTGTCAGCAGCCGAGTACCTCAGTCACTAGACCACCACGGCGGGGTCAGCCAACTTTCTAAACATTATTTCCACACTCAATTTCATTAGATCAACAGGACAGAACTACAATTTGCGAGGAATCGGTACCTTTGCATTCAATTCCAAATGAGACATGGTTGCCGCAGCTGCGCAAAAGTTTGGGTCTGTCCACAAATACATCATGATGACAAGATGCAAGCCAATAAAGACTGTAGCTCACTTGACAGGTGAAGCGCTCTCTATAGGGCACATGGATCAGCTCGTGGCGCCTTAGCGCGCTCCGTGACCGTAGCTCTAGCTTGCATGACAGGCAAGACCAGCGGTTGCCTTTCCTCAGTCCAAACATCTTCTTCCGCGAACGAACATCTTCAAATCGGAAGCAGGAAAGAAAAGGAGGAAAATGGTATCGCTCTTTGTGCTGCATGAAAGCCAATGCAATGTGACCACACTTAACATTATGCAGCCCCCCGGACAGCTTTAATTCCCTCAGAAAATAGCTAGCTGCATAATAAGTGATGCACTGACATTATAATAATAATAATGCATAATAAGTGATGCACTAATGAGTGATGAACGCTAACAAAAACATTACGAATATAGGTTAACAGACACAAGTCTTAAATGTTCGGAATGCTTCCATCTACTAACTAGCGAGATTTCAAAAGTCTTTTACAATTAATATTAAGCTCTGTAGGCCCTTTAGGTTTCAGGTATATGAAGGTACAGTACATTTGCTAATAATTTTTTGGTGCACTATGCAAATCATTTCAATTAATTAGCAAGTTGAAAGGAAACATTAGGCTTTTCAAACAATGAAGGCCCAAATTGTGTCTGCAAATAATAGCAAGTGCAAAAAAAATACTACGTAATAAAGATGGCATGCGCTGCCCGCATGTTGATATGAGATAAGCTTGTATGACACCGCAACTACTTAAAAAATGTAAATCTTTTCTGTGTAGATTAACACATACTTTCATAACACTGTGCTCTAAGGCATAGAAATAATTAAGTGAATGTTCATAGCATGCATAGTACGAAGGTAACATGTTTTTACAGATTAAAATACTTTGTAGTATATCAAGAAACCTCATAAATTGTATTTTTAATGTTTTATTTCCACATTACAATGCATCTAAAAGTGAAATTTCCCTCAAGTTACAACAGGCCAGCACACCGGTTTCTTACTCTTCTGACAAACAATGCCACTTTCACCAGCAGCAAATAAACTACAGCATGTACAAAAAAGTACAGTTAAATTTAGTTGGTGATAGAATAGTAAAATTCAGATGAATCTAAACAAAAAGATTTGAAAGCTATATATATATATATATAATGGCTACGAAAGCTGCATTAAATGTCACACTGATGAAGGCTGACACAGCCGAAACGTATGTGATCATTAAAAATGTTTCGTCGTACGTTGTGCTTTCTCGCTTCCGTTTTTACTACGCAGCCAGTGCGCTTCCTTTCTTGCTAAGTCTATATATATACATATATATAGCTTTCAAGTCTCTTTGTTTAGAATCATCTGGATTTCTATCACTAACTAAATTTAACGCTGTAGCGTTGCAAATAGTCAAGTAGATCCTCCGTGAGAACGGGAAAGCGTTTATTTCGACAGTTTCAGTCAGAGTTTGGCTAATACTGTCGAAATAAATGCTTTTGTTGTTACCGTTCTTACGAAGTATTTACTTGACTATATATATATATATATATATATATATATATATATATATATATATATATATATATATATATATATATATATATATATATATATATTCCTCAATCCTCAACAGAGCACTTTATAAATGATTTGCCAATGCAATGAAGAAATGAGTACATGACACTTCTCTAACTAAACAAAAGCTTACTGATGCTTTGGTAATGTCACAGTTGCATCAAATCTTTGATGTACAATATTAACACATTCACAGCACTCCATTTAGCATGAGTACACATATGTTTTACCAGATGTTCTCTCTGTCATTTTTTTCATTTTAAAAGAAGCTGTACTTTCAAAGGAGTAATCTCACCGATTGACACAAACGGTAGAGCTAAATAAACCATGTTTATTTGTGCTTTCCATTCACTAAATAACGTCTGTAATGTTAAGTTTTTAAGGCTACATACCAAAATACATCAAGTAAGGGCCGTAAAATATCCTCAGGCCTAAAGTGAAATGTCTGTGAAGTGACAGGGAAGTATAAACAACACTGTGTGGCTTTTAAAAATGCCAGTTACCAGAAATTAAGATAACAAAAATGAAAGTGAGGCAACAGATTACCTTCCTTTTCTCAAAGCATCAGATGGCAATAATCTCGCAGTCATCAGACGGCAATAAATAATGCAATATGATTTAAAACTTATGACAAGTGATTATTTAACAAACAATGTATTATTACAGCTGCTTTTTTTTTTTGCTGATCACGTCAAACTTTCGCACAAATGCAAGTGCACTATGTATGAACACTCATCATAAACAAAGTTTGATATAAATAACTTGAGGAATGAGTGTGCATATCAACTGGCAAGAACTGCATAAAAGACAATATAGTTTGTAGCAAAGTTGACAAGGGACTTAAGGCACTCGATGATAACAACACCAGGTAAGTGTGCAATTTAGGAGAACTAAAACCCCCGAAAGGCATAGCACTTGCTATACTTCGCTGCAGCCACTAGCTAACAAGGCATTTTACATATAGAACTCTTTAAATTCACTTGTGGCGGTGAAGAATGCATACAAAAGCTTATTCAGCATGTGTTTCAGAAGAACTCGAAAAAAGCAATTATGAAAGTGAATATTTGCCTGTAGAGTAAAATAATAAGGAATGCATATTCAAGAACACAGACTCAACAACATGCTTTCCTTCACAAGTCCCCGAGTATTCATACAGGTTTCATGCATACAGCTGTGACTAAGCCCAAGCATGGTCTGAGGAGGACTACAACTGAATAGCACAACACGAAATTGGGCCTATAACTGTAAGCCCTCATTTTGTGAATACAAAGTACAAACTGCCAAACTACTACACAATATGAAATCAACTGCTTTTTCCTTCTGTATATTGGTTCCTGAGGCAACCATTCAAATAAAATTACATTCAACAGCGCTTGAAACGTGAACAAAGTGAATCGCAGGTGCACTTGACATCTCCTCTTTAGCAAATGAGTCAATAAAAACTTCATCCATCAATGACATTTAAAAACCTACTTATCTGGTACGCTTAACAATGAAATGAGTCAAACCATAATTTAAATGAATGATGTTTTGCTTGAACTGAAAGTGTTATGGCCCACTATAACTCTATTTGAATCTAGCTATATTATTAAGTTAATGAACCACCATAAAAAGGTTTGTAATAAGCTTTTAAACCATGAATTATGCCCTCTACAAAGAGCTTCCATCATTAGTATGCCACAGTACGATTCCTTGTATGCCACTAATGTTACATAAATTTATTGCATAAATGAAGATAGCGACAACTTGATAACTAGAAGTGAGTAGTTAGCCTCATGAAAAACAGTCTCGTAAGTAGGTGCATGGGATTGTACAATGTAAGCTGAAAGGGACACTGAAGTCAACTATTAAGTCGACGTTGATTGTTAAAATGGCAGTCCAGAAACCTCGTAGTGTTACTTTTGTGCGTTTTAGTGGTCCGCATTGGGTTAGCACGATTCAAGTTACCCGCCTCAAGAAGCGGACCGACCAGTCCGTCTCACGTCACTGTTGCTGTGCACAATGTTGCCCGGCTTTGCTGCGCTAGTAGCAGCATACCGAAAGCAGTAGGAGCCACCGCAGCAAAAACGGCCATTGATCAATTTCCGTCCATTGGCTCCGAGAATGCAGACGCTTTTGTTTCAACTGCGCCCCGCTAGATGGCACCACCTGTCCAGTGTAACCACACGAAAATTAAATTTTTGTACCACTCGGGCCATTCCCCATAGTAACGTCCGGTGGTTATTTTTTTCATGAATCACACAGAAACCAACAAGCAGCATTTTATTGCGTCTCTTGATGCACGAAAAGTCCTCTATTTAGTGCAGTTAGATCGATTACTAGTGATTAATCGTAGGCGGTCCATCTGATGTCATCGGTATAATTCTGAAAATGTCCTACTGCGGCGCTTGTGTTCTTATGCATTTATTTTAATTTCTCAATAAGTAGGGCACCGTTGCTGATAACATTGTCATTTTAGGTGTTGTCATACATTGAGCTTTCACTCTGACGTAAATTGTTATTTGACTTTAGTGTCCCTTTAAGGCAGAGAATTATTCATCATCTTATGCTCAGAATGCCTGAGGTCAAGGTGACACAAGTAAACCACCTTGAAACATCAGGACTGCTGGCCACACTCCTAGGGCTTATCTCGCAAGCATACACAGTCACCTAGGAAAATGAGTGAAACGATAACACCACAGTACCTTAATTGGTTAATCATTACACACACAAGCTACGAGCTTGGCCCCCACTGACCACAAGGCATTTTGTTAGCCAGTTTCATTTTCATTCATATAATTTTTACATATTTTTACATTTCATTTAAACGTGTCTACTGCCTTCATACACCTCAAAGAAAAAAGAACTGCCTCTCAATATCCAATCGCAATATATATATATATATATATATATATATATATATATATATATATATATATATATATATATATATATATATATATATATTTGTTGAAGGGACAACAAAAAATGAAAGCTGAGCTGCATCATAGAAATAGAATAGCACTTGTAGAATCCAAAGACACCCTTCTAATAAACATAATGAACAATGCCAATTCTGAAGTTCCCACACTTGCTCACCTTATTGCAAGGCATTCCTATGGTGCCTAACTAAACTTGCTTTACATTTTTGTATATAAAGATGCACTACATATTATAAGGAATGCTAAATATTGGACATTGGGAGTTGTAAAACTTCTACTGTGCGAGAGTGATTCAAATGCTGGAATATACTGTGAAGCCCATGACATCCCACTGATGTACTGGCACAAATGGCGCATAGCATTTTTTCTCTTCGTATTATGAAGTTAACAGAAATTAAATTTTTACAGAATCATTCATTTATATAAGTTGGTCAAGTGTTTTTATTGAATTCACATTTAGCATGTTTTGATAACCAAGAGCTTGACTTTTACATACTATGAAAAGCTTTGTCTCCCAGCATTTCTGACATTTTTACAAGCCAAGTCCCATCAGTGATGGCAGGTGCTGATGCAGTATGGCCTGACATGACTATTAAAAACTTGGAATATTTAAATGTAACTGTGTGCTTTCCCGCTCCCAACTATAATGCTTAAAATTTTGCCACATGCTTGTATAAAGCTTTGTAAAAACATTTAACATAGAAGTTTTTGTAAAGAGCCATCTTTTTAAATTACTAAACATTCAATAAAGGCACCATAAGGCACACAGTGAAAAGAAAACACACAAAAATCATGAGCATAAGCTAAGAGAAAAATTACTTCTCAACAAAACAGCATTAACTAAACTTGCAACAAGCAGCAATGTGGTTTTGTGGCTGATTTCTGCCTGCATGAGCTTGGTCTTGCCATGCGGCCTGACACGAAAGCAAGACAGATGCAAAAATAATTTACAAACCTAAAAGGTTTGTAAATTATTTTTGCATCTGTCTTGAACCAAGTCTTTTCAATAGCACTTGAGTAACCTGGTCACAACTCCCAGCTATAGTTCGAACACTTCATCAGATTTCATTAAAAACCCTTCAAAAATTTTCTATATAAATGAAGCCGATTTTGAGGCTCACCAAGTGGGTTGGTTAAAAAAGGCATTAACAGTATCAACACTATAATATCTGCTAATCATAAGGGCCACAAGCTACTCATCATCATCATCATCAGCCCACATTATGTTCATTGCAGAATCAAGGCCTCTCAAAATGATTTTCAACCCACCCTGTTTTGTCCAAGCTCATTCAATTTTATGCCTGCAAACTTCTTAATTTTATCACTCTACTTAGCCCTTTGCTATCCTCAGCTATGCATGACCAGCCATGCTTCCTAGGTGCGTCTACTAAGTCAAATGCCTTTTAGTAATCTATGAATGTCATATATAGGTTCTTTCTTGTATTTGGCAGATTTTTCAGTTATTTGATGAATTGCACAAAGGTAATCTATGGCAGAGTACCCTATGATGAAGGTAGCTTGCTCTCTAGGTAGATTAAAGTCAAGTATGCTTACCCTGTTCTAAATCATCTTCTGAATACTTTGTACAATGCTGAAAGAAGGCTGATCAGTATCTAGTTCTTGGTCTTTCACATATACTACCTTTTAGTGTAGTAGCAAAATATAGG